ACTCAGTGCGTGCCTCACTGGCTAGTAAGTTCCTCATGTTCTCAGGTAGACATCTAACAAACGTGGTTAAGAGGAACTGGTCACTGTAGTTGATGTCTGGGACGAGGATCAGGCTCTCGACGGTAGTCGTAAACTCCCTAACTGACTTGAACTTACGTTGGTCTAGTTTATTAATGGCATCAGTGGCCCTCTGAGCCTCCTGTGGGTTATGCCATCTAGCTTCTACCATCTCCATGAATTGGTCTAAAGTCAAAGACTTAGCCCAATCCGCCATGCGTCGCTCGTACCCGGACTTCACAACTACACCATCTAACCATTTGGTTGCCTTACCCTCTAGGTAAGACGCCGCAATTACCACTTCGTCCTCAGGCAAGGTCCTTTTGGCCTTTACCCAAACCGGGACTGTCCTCAACCATATGTTGAGTTCCTCGTCCTTTCTCTCCCCTGAGAATGCAAGAGGCGGTTTCATTGGGGTCTTGGATACCATTGACCTTGCGGTTGTCCTTGTGGAGGACTAGTCTGTTGCGGTGGTGTAGCAACCACCGCTGGACCCGAAGAAGAAGATGCAACAATCTGTGTTGCTGCTGCAGATGTGTCACTTGGCTGTGTGCCAGCTTGAACCGAAAAGGGGCCTGACATCATCGATAACGGCAATGACGATTGTGCTGGTGGCCGGTATCCTGGCCTTGTCAAAGCGTCCAGGATCTAGTCTAGAGTGCTTTGCATGAAGTCGAATCTGCTGTCCATATGCGCGTGCAGCGACAACACATTCTTCTTCAACACTTTCATCTGGGCATTCATTGTTGCCTCATCCAAGCCCTCTAGTTCAGCCTTGTCAGCCTCTAAAGTTTCAAGCCTGGCTACTCTGGTTTTCATTTCATTTTCTCTATCGGTTGCCTCTTTCAGGTCCTGCTCTTACTTAAGGCGTAGTCTCTCGACCTGTTGGATCTCTCTGAGCTCCCGCTCTCGTGCGGTCATGGGGCTGAGTTGCGCACCTGCCATTTGACTAGAAGACTGTCTAGAACCTGAGGAACCGGAAGTGCCTGAGGAACTTGTGGAACTCGTTGGCATTCCCAACGAGCTCCCATTAGTCTCTGACGAGGACGCAGATGAAGACGCAGCAGAGCTTGCGCCGTTAGTCATCGCAGCTGCTCTGGCTGCTGTTGCCTGCTCTCTTGCTGCTCTGTTTGCTTCTGCTATCCCCACTGCTAGCGCACGGAATCAACGTATCCTTCTTTCTTCTCCCGGCTCCAAGGCCTGGAACACGTGCGGTACCCTTAGTGCCCGTGCACGTGTTAGTCTCCTGTTGTCAGCTCTATCATCAACTGGATCTGACCCACTCATTRGTTAGASAGATAGTGTCTACACTAGAGTCCCCTAATGGGATCCTACCGCAGCGTGTATCTGACCGGCACGTAATTTTCCATACATAGTTGTGTCCGACGAGTTCCTTACTGTACCGAATCAAGTGACATGTCTACAACATTCACACAGATTGTCTACATTGTCTAGATGCACCCTGACTGGTTCACTTACAGCAGCATTAGTTAGTACTGGCTATGGTAGCATACAACAGTCCTACACTAATCTGTCTGTGAGGTTGGCAGTCCGTCAACCAACTAATCAAAGGTACAAAAAGACAATGTAGCAGATGTATGATTGATGGGTATGGTTGTGTATACAGTTGAGCACCATTTGAAACCAACCCTCCCCTCGATCCAACCATTCGATTAGGATCATTGTGCAGGCAGTGTCTTCGTGTGCATTTCGGCCCACCCCTGTGCCCAAGTTGTCACCGAGCAAGCGAGCCCAACGACTCTTATTTACCCTCGTACGGCGACGACCCTTCCTGTCCATGTGATCTGGCTGATCAGGAGGAATTTATAGAGCGCCCCCATCTCTTCAGGAATTATTTAACGTCGCAGGCAGGACGACGATCACAGCCAGATTCACAATGAA